AGTGTGGAGGCTGGAAGCCTGCTCCCACCACCGGTGTGGACATGAGTCATCAGCAGGGAATCACCAATCTTTCTCTTCTGCCCGGCTGTATTATTTTTAGGTCAGCATAGGAATTTCTTTGCTCATGAGAGCCACATTAATTCTGCAAATAACACTAGAGAGAAAGGAGAATAATAACAACAGAGGTAGAAAAACACACGGTATTGACTGGGAATTTCAGTGGGAGGAGTTAGACAACTTCATAACTTATACATAAGTTATTATGTATAAGTATATATTGTATATGTATGTATATGTATATATTATTAAGTTATACATAACTTAATAATTGTGTATTAATGACTTCTGTCTCAGGATACGTTTCATTCTTCTTTTTGTTTTCCTTGTTTCTGTTTGTGGAAGCTGCTAAAGAGTGCAGACAGGAGAGGAACAAAGTAGTACCAAGCTTTTTATTTTTGATAAGGCCTAGAAATTAAGACTGTTTTTATTTGTTATCATCCACCATATGAGCAATTTTATATTAGTGAGCTGCATGGATGAAAACTTCAGGTTTTAGTCTGTGTGGTTTTAGAAATACAAGCAGAGTAATGGTAAATGTCACTTTCTCACCAGCAGTCTCTAGTAATACAGAGCATAGTGTTTGTTTAATTTCTTGGTAACATAATGATAAATACAAATATTTGGCATTTTCGTCTTGAAATACAGAATCTAGAAGGATTGAGTGGTTGTCTGCATTACTCTTTATCAAAGTCTAGACTGATTAATTTTGCTAAAAATTTGTCTCTGCTTTTCCTTTCTAAAATGTCTTTCAGTTTCTTAAAGATGAACAGCTATTTCCTCTGCTGACATATTGGAGTTGTCTCAGAAGAGAGTGTAATGCAAGGCAACAGGCACCGCTTATGTAAACTTTTCTTGCAGAGATGTCACTTAGCAAAAGTGTAGCAAATCTTGCCTTGCCCCCTTGAATGAACAAGCTTTGCAAAGCACTGACTCTTTCTTAAAGCCTGTTGAAATGCTTTTATATCCTAATTAGCATTACAGATTTCAAAAATACTAACTTATTTTAGGAGAAAGCTTTTCAATGGTGTTTTTTTACACAGAGATGCATACACTTGTCTGCATTAAGAAAATAAAAAAAAAAAAGGAAAAGAAAAAGGTGTACTGGTATAATAATAATTAATCAGACCTCTCTAGTGTGATACATGGCTTGATCAACAAGGGCAGCCTAGTTGTTGCATTGTTATGTTTTGGTTCTGCTTTTGTGTTTCAGGAGTTCTGTTGCATTACCTGCTTTTTTTTTTTTTTTTTTTGACACCTCTGCCAATGAGCCACAGCCTTCGTATTATATTTGCGTTGTTACAGATACAAGCGAGTCAAAAACATAAAGGCATTTGAGAATTAAAATAATTTTAAAGGGGCCTTAGCTGCTAAAAACAGTTTTTTTCCTTTTTACTTAAAATTTAATCTCTATGCTTGGAACTGAACAGCTTTTTTGTCCCTACTCTGCAATCATATTGATAGAAAAATTGAAGACTGTGGCCAAGACTAGCAATCACATGATAACACAGCAGCTTTTATTAGATACATCTGGGAACTTACCTTGCAAGTAGAGTGCTTTTATCTCTGCACAGGTGTTGAGCCATTGCTCGGCCTGTTCTGCTAACAACCTCAGAACCTGTTCCCATCACTGTTCTCTGCATCCATGCCATCCATGTTTGATTTGGAACTACACATGAGCAGACTTGTGAAATTTTAAGGAGAGGGAGGCTTTTCTGTTGTTTTGTTTCCTTCTTTTTTTAAGTTCATCATGAGTAAACTATTACCATATGTTTCAGATGCTTTATTTGATATGCTGAACTTCTCAGACTTTCCACAATTACCAATAGTTTTTTTAAAGCAGTTTAAACAAGATGAAAAAATGTTAATATCATGTAGGATTCCTTTCTCTTTCCTTTTTAGACTGTGGGTCTGGATTTAAAAGTACTGTAGGCAGTGACACTACCCAAAGATGGAAAATAGTACTGATGCCAAAACAGAGAAATTAATAGTCAGACCTCCTTTAAAAATTTAATGCTTCCAGTTAATGCACTGTTAGGCATGGCAGCTTACTCCATTTTAAATTAACACAAGACTTAATCAATGCAGCATGATGCTTGCCTTAACTAGTTAGTACCTGTAAGCTTTTCTTGGAAGTGCTAGGTGTCCGTCCCTGGACTACAGAGGAAGGCAGGACATCCACAGCTCCTTCCCATGCTCCAGCTCCCATGTGGTTCTGTAAGCTGTGCCACCAGGACAAGGTGCTGAGCCAGGGTGCAGTGCATTTATATGCCCTGAAGAGTCTGCAACTTGAGATGACAGGCATGATTTATCTGGATGTTTCTTTTTTCAGCCAGGTGCTTCTTTCTGACCTAATGAAAAAAAGAACTTAATCTTTCTCCTAATTTCTCTTTTTGTTTGCTGCTTCTTCACTCACAGCAAGGAAAATAAAAGAAAACTAAAGAAGAAAGAAAAATAAATATGCTTAATAAAAGAGAAACTTTATATTCCTTTTATAAGATACATTACTTCTGTTTGGGGAAGGGGAGGTAGTTCCCTTTGCGTGGAAAACACCATGTTTAACTTGCAAATTTTTACTGTCCTTAGGCTAGCAGTTGATACAGGTGTACTGTGAAGGACTTTCACATGGGTATTTGCTCTGAAAGATTAACTCTCAAGTGCAGCTTTTGATGGGAGACCTAAATAAAGTAGTGCTGAAAAACGTCATGTTGCAAGAGGGGGGTGAAGGGGAGTGCAGGATGAACAAGGCACACCTCCCTGCTGTGTGGGATGTGTGGCTGCTTGACAAGGAGCACTGTCTCCTGCTCAGCCCAGATCTTGGGGTTACAGTGGCAGGAGCCAGTGCTCCCAGTGACTCTGTGGTGCCATCGCTGTTAGCTGTGCCTGCCCTGTCGCACACAAGGGGATACAGCTGCTGCACTGGGCTCCTGGGCACAGGGCAGGCCAGAAACACTGGGGCCCCAGAGATGCTTCAGGATGCCCCAAGGTCAAGGTCTGTGTCCCTTTGCAGAACAGCCTGCAATGCTTCCAGTGGTGCAGGAGAGTTGTTTCCAAGCCCTCCTTGTTTGTATATTGACATACCAGGAGGAACATGTCAGAAGCACTACTTGTTTTCGTGCAAGGCATTTTCATCACCTCTAAAAGCAGTTTATTTCAGCAGCCTGCAAGTTCTTCAGGTGGCTACTCATAATTTTTTAATACTCTCCCTCCCGTAGTGGTTTTGGTGGTTGTGTTTTTATTTTCACTGAAGATCACAGAAGAGGTGCTGCCAAGTGAGCTGGAGGAGAGCCGTAGATCCTGGTGCTGGAGAAGTACTGTGTTGGCCATCCCCCCCTCCCTGAGATTGTTGTCACATTTGGCATACCTCTTAAAGTAAACATTAGCTTTGTAAATGGCATTGGTTGGGTATTTAATGGAATGCAGGAACTATGTCAGCAGTAATTATACAGGTAGGATGCAAGTGAATTGACAAGAGAGTTAAAACAGATTAAACCTTCAGCGCATATTTATGTCCAAGCTTTCTGGGTACTGTGATAACAATGGCTGTGTTATATACACTTCACACTTGCTTCTTTCACCACTCAGGGACTATGAGTCCAGTTGCTTCGTGAGTGACTTGGTTATCTCTTCATTTTCAGAGAATAAAAAAATTGCTGTGGGAGTTTATGTAGTGATAAAATGAACAACAATGGGAGTTTGTTAGGGACAGGACAGGGAGGGGGTGGTTTCAGGATTTTGTCAGAAGTCATTTCTAATTGCAGGATGTTTTTTTAATGAGTAGGCACATGTCCTTTTCCTTGATGTAGAGAGCAAAGACAGTATGGGGAAAACCAAGACCAGGGGCAGATGTGAAAGATTTCTAGTGCATATAATGTTCTCACTGACAAAATCTCTCCTTCGTATCCACTGGTGTTTTGCTTCTGGGAAACCCACGCTTTGGGAGCTGGACCTGCAACCACAAGGAACTTGAGGTTGAGTGAAACTGTGTGTCACTTATTGAATGCAGAGAGGACGTGACCTGTCATGCTGCAGAGCTCACATTCCAAATATTTAAAAGGCGGTAGGCTTTGTTGACGTGTTGGTCAAATGTTGCTGCATAGTCCTTTCTGCATGCAGCATAGCTTTGGTTGTTTAATGCAATGTTTTGTGTGAGAAGCCCTTGTTTAGCTGAATTTGGGATTTGAGAACTTAAGAAAAACAAGAAATCACAGCAATAAAGGTGTGGGTAGGAAAAGACAGTACTTCTGCATTTTTCTTCAGGGCAAACTGCTGTGAAAGGAGTATAAAGGTGTTAGAAGTGTTGAACCCGTTTCAGGTCTTCCTCCTCTGAACCTTTCTCCCATTCAAGGAGTAGTAGTTTTCCTTTTCAAACATCCATTTCTCGTAACAGCTTTGAAAAATACCAGTGGAAGTTTATGGAAAGGCAGTGTGAGGAAGATTCACATGCAGGTATTTGAGTGGCATGCAGTAGTATGTTTTAAGCAGTGGTTATGAAAGGTGCTGTTTTTACATTTTCTTGCTACTTAGGTCAGATTTAGCCTCTCCTTGTCGCAGATTTTTTTTTTTTTAATGTTGTTTATTTTAACAGTACTTGTCAGTAAAAATGAAACAGCGTAAGGCCATTGAAATATTTTTTGTTGGACAATAAAAAGGTTTTCACAAGGCTGTTCTCTCAGCTGCTGTTGTAACGTCTGCCCATTGTCAGTTCTCATATTCTTTAAACTTCCAGTGGACTTAATAACCAGAAACTGGTAGAAGGTGACTGTGACCAAAATGGCCTTTTGTGGTGATAGGTTTTGACACACTGTGGCCTTATTTTGCATTTAACAAATTCTTGGTTTCATGAGGTGGAGGAAAAAGGATGTTCCTGTGCAAGAAGAATGCTAGTTCTTAAGCTTGCAGCAGTCACTAAGTCATTTCTGTTTTATTCCTTTCCTTTCCAGGTGCGACATCTGTTGTATTACCTTTCGTACTCATCGGGGCTTACTGCGCCATAATGCAGTTATCCACAAGCAGCTTCCCAGAGATCCCATGGGAAAGCCTTTCATTCAGAACAACCCTTCAATTCCAGCAGGCTTCCATGACTTGGGATTCACGGACTTCTCCTGTAGGAAGTTCCCCCGCATTTCTCAGGTACTCTCTGCTTTTTGTAGCTTAAGGTACCAGCTGCTACAGTGCTTATCTGATGAGGTAATTGAAAGATTCATCCTGCATGTAGAATATTTTGTGGAAAGTATATCACCACTGTTTCTGTAGTCTTCAAGCATTTTGTCTCTCCTTTTTCTTTTTTCATCTAAACAATATTGGCACTGGGGGCTTTTTTACCATTACAGTGGATAACTGTCAGTGTAAAGACGTATAAAAATTTTTGAAGGAAAGATTTGGTCATATTAGATCCTTTCCCCTTTGAGCATACCCAAAAAATTCCTACGTCTGAAATCAACAGGGAGTACACATGGTAAGGAAGACATTATTTATTTTAGTTTACTCTAACAAGGATGTAGTTGGCGTATGAAAGTTTTTATTACAAGAAGCTTTGAGCAGTGGTCTTATTAACTAAACAGTGACATCTTGAGTGATTCCCTCACAAAGTACTCTGCAGTGTTCCTCATGTAAGGTTTGAGGGTTCTGCACCTTTGAGGGACAGTGGATGGGGAAAGTCAGGGAGGTAGTCTGCAAATATTTTTTCTGAGAGCCATAAGGCTTTCTTTTGGGTGGTATGACTCCTCCCTCTGTCAAACCTTGCCTGCCTTAGTTTGGGTCTGGATGAAGCTGTATATCCATTAAAAAAATCAACAGCATGATCCACCAGGACCATGCTTAGTTTCTGCATTTTTCTATTCTTCTGAGATTAAAGCATTGATTTCCAACTCTTCTGACTGCAAAGTGGTAGACTTGAAATTTGCTGCTGATCCAGGGGAGCATGTAGGTCTTTCTGTCTGTTACAGTTTTGGTATAAAACTTAAAAAATGAAAAGAAAGAACTTTTAAAACAAAGTTTATTTCTTTTGTAATTAATGACAGACATTTAATGTTACTAAGGGATTTGAATGTTGATATTTTCCTTTTGTAATAATTTTGCTTGCACTGTGAGAGAAGACTTATAAAGTATTTAGAGTCTATAAAGATCTTGCCAGCCATCTACTAGTATTTTTCTTGGGAGAAAAAATGTAATCAGACTTCCCTAACCAAAAACCACTCTGCTTTAGGCTCTGAGTTTCATTGATCTGCTTCTGGGGGATTTTATTTTGGTTGGTTTATATTGGTTTGGCTTCTTGGAGGCCATTATTTTTTTTTGCTTCCTCTCCTCCTAGTTTCTTTGTAGTAGAGCTAAAGGAGATAGTCTACTGCCCAGTTTCCTTGCTATGTAGTATACTGAGTACTGAGGCTCAATGACCCAAGAAGAGTTTCTGATAGGAAAGTTTAGGATGGAAAACAATTTTGAGAGCCTGAATAGCCTTATGAAGGAGTTTACCCTTATAGAAGGGAATTTGTGGAGAATCCCTAATTTGGATACACCCCTTAGGAGACTAAAGGCTGTGAAGTGGGAATATCTCTATGCCAGGTAGGTGAAGGCTGCCCTAAAGCTCCTAACAGTCAGTGGAAGAGAATGAACTGGTTTTGTTTTGCTGCAGCCTTTCCAGTTTGAGATTCCTACTCTAAATATTTTTGCATGTCTTGCAGGTCTGGTGTGAAACAAATTTGCGAAGGTGCATCAGTGACTTCCATCGATTTATTTGCGAGATGTGTAACAAGGCATTCCCCATGCTTTCTGCACTCAAACTGCACACAGAAACTCACGTGGTGGATCAGGGAAAAGACAAGCACAAGCCCCAGTCCATGACCCCACCCAGTGAGAATCCAGACCAGAAAGCCTTCATGGCATCCTTGGGCCTACAGTACACCAAAGACATCAAGCCTGTCAAGCAGGAGGACAGTACACAAGACGAGGTCCAAGAAATGCGGCTCAGAGCACTGAAGAGTAACCTACCTCAGGAACCTGGCAGCACCAGTCTGCTCAGCCTCTCTCCTCTGGAAGCTGCCTCCATGGGAGGGTCATTTTCAGTCCTTCCCCCTACAAAAGAAAACATAAAGCTTCTCTCGCTGCAGCCTTTCCAGAAGGGTTTTATTATCCAGCCTGACAGCAGTATTGTGGTGAAACCCATCTCCAATGAGTCTGCCATTGAGCTGGCAGACATTCAGCAGATCTTGAAGATGGCTTCTTCTGCTCCTCCTCAAATTAGTCTTCCTCCACTTTCTAAGGCACCTTCTGTCCCTGTGCAGTCAATTTTCAAGCATATGCCACCACTGAAGCCAAAGCCTTTGGTAACGCCCCGAACAGTTGTCGCAACCTCTACACCTCCTCCTCTTATCAGTGCCCAGCAAGCCTCCCCTGGCTGCATCAGCCCAAGTCTCCCACCTCCCCCTCTGAGGCTGATCAAGAACTCAGTGGAGTCTGCCTCCAACTCTCATCTCTCCCAGCCAGGAGCCAAATCAAGTCCTTCTTCACAGTTGCTCCTCCAACCCAAAGTAGAGCCTTTAACTCAGCATGAGATGAAGACACAGCTGGAGCAGGACAGCATCATTGAAGCTCTCCTGCCTCTAAGTATGGAAGCCAAGATTAAGCAAGAAGTCACGGAAGGAGACCTCAAAGCCATCATCGCAGGGGCAGCGAACAAGAAGACGCCAACCATGAGGAAAGTTTTGTACCCCTGCCGTTTCTGTGACCAGGTGTTTGCCTTCTCTGGTGTCCTGAGAGCTCACATCCGTTCTCACTTGGGTATCTCTCCATATCAGTGCAACATCTGTGACTACATTGCGGCTGACAAGGCAGCACTGATCCGGCACCTGCGGACGCACAGTGGGGAGAGGCCTTACATCTGTAAAATCTGCCACTATCCGTTCACAGTGAAGGCCAATTGTGAGAGGCACCTGCGAAAGAAGCACCTCAAAACAACCAGGAAGGATATCGAGAAGAACATTGAGTATGTCACCAGCAATGCTGCAGAGATGGTGGATGCCTTCTGCTCCCCAGACACGGTGTGCAAGCTGTGTGGAGAGGACCTGAAGCACTACCGGGCCCTCCGCATTCACATGAGGACACACAGCGGCTGCCAGAAGAAGAAGCCATTTGAGTGCAAGGAGTGTGGCACGGCCTTTTCGGCCAAGAGGAATTGCATTCACCACATCCTCAAGCAGCACTTGCATGTGCAAGAAAAGGAGATTGAGAATTACATCTTAATGGTGGACTGCAGTGCCCAGGAAAGCCAGACAGACCCTTCTTTATTGGAGGACAGCACTTACATGGACCACAAGCCCATGACGCCTTTCCTGGAGCCACAGAATGGCTTCTTGCTGGGAACATCATCTCACGTTTCCATCAAACGTGAACCTGTGGGCAACTTCCCCATGGATTTTGATGAGCCGTTGGATTTCTCTCAGAAGAGCAAAAGCCTGAGTGCTGTGCAGGTGAAGCAGGAGAACTTGTTTGGTTCATCTCTGTCCCTTTATGACTGTTCCATGGAGCCTATTGACCTGTCCATCCCCAAAATCCTGAAGAAGGATAAAGATGATGCCCCCTGTGAAGCCAGGAATCAAGAGCTGGCTGCTTCTGGGAACAGTGATAAAGCCTATAACTGTCTGCAGTGTCCTTTGGTTTTTGGTGCCAATGGGAACTCGGAAACAAACCGGGGTGTCAGACATCCCCAGCCACTGAAAGGTTCGTTGCATTTGACTGTCCCGATCATTTCCCCGGCTCTCGCTGGCAATTCTGCCTTGCTGAGACCCCTGAGGCCTAAACCACCACCACCACCTCTCTTGCCAAAGCCTTCAGTAACTAAAGAGCTGCCACCATTGGCTTCCATTGCACAGATCATTTCATCTGTGTCTTCTGCTCCCACTTTGCTGAAAACAGAGGCTGCAGACGCCGGTCCCAAGGCAGTGAGCAGCTCCACTGGGTGTGACAAATCAGGGAATGCCAAAGCTAAAGTGACAATCGTGAGCACCGTTCAGAGAGACTCCAGCCTGCCCAGTGACCTGTCTCAGGCTTGTGATCCAGAGCAGTCTCCCATCGCTGATACTGGGTTGACTAAGAAAAGAGGTAGAAAGAAAGGAACAAAAAATAAGCCTAAACTTAGCAATAGTGTGGATCTGGAGTCAAGTGGGGAATTTGCCAGCATAGAGAAGATGTTGGCTACCACAGACACTAACAAATTTAGCCCATTTCTGCAGTCCACTGACAATTTCAAGGAAGAAAGTGGCAGAAATGGAACAAGTGAGGATGAGAAGGAAGCTGCCAAGGATAAGCTGCTGAGAGGGAAGAGGAACACGTACTCAGACTGCCTGCAAAATATCCCCTGTCCTTACTGTCCTCAAGTCTTTCCATGGGCACATGCCCTGCAGCGGCACATGCTCACTCACACAGGTAAGAGTGCTCTGTGCTCACAGTAGGTTCTATGTCCTGAGATTGTTCCCCATGGAAGAGCCTCTCCATGGAGGAATCTTCCTTTCTCTAGTATCTGAACTGTATTCTTCTTTATTATTTTGATAATCCCTAGCTGTTGCTGTTCCATAGTGGTGGTGGTAGATTTTTCAGAAATGGAATAATCTCTGTGTCTTTGAGTATCAGTGGGTAAATAAAACTGTTGATACCCATTTGACTTCAGTGGCATAACTTAGTGTAGCTGGAAAAAGGCTCAGGTTTCAGTTGTTCTGTTATTTTTGCCTTGTCTTGAAGGGGAACATGTTGAATATTTCATTGTGCCTTACATGCTTCGTTTGTTTGCTTCTGATGACTGTTTGTCTGCATCAGTAATGATAAAAAAGATCTTTAAAAATGAGAGACAGAAAGTGTAGAACTGTGGCAGGAAAATAAAATAATACAGTGCTTAGCATTTTTTTTTCTTGTGGTGGCTTTTATTTAACAGATCAAAGGAGGGTGCGAGAAACTGCTCATCCTGAGCATTACGTAATAGCTTGCCTCTAGGAAAAGTTTCTCCTCAGAGATAGACAGCTAAAGGTGGGCACATGCCCCAAGGTGTGGAGATATGTATGGAATCTCTAGCATTGTGCTGCTGTGTAAGTAACCTCAGACTTGGTGTAAACAAAAGGAGGAATTGGGTAGGGAGATTTATTCTAGGTCTGGGGTTACTTTTCATTCTTCACTATAAAGGAAATACTGCATTGAATGCTGTGCTGATTTGAAGTTCCCTCATTCTTCCACCCACACTGTAAAAAAGTAATTAGTACATTCTCATTCTGCTCTAGAGGGAGAGGACAAAGCTCTACTTTCTGTTGTGCCCTTTTAAGTCAGTCACAGTTGTTGATATTATTTACTTAATTATGCATTTCAGCTCCTGGCATAAAAAATAAAAATAAGGTATTTTTATAAGAAACATAGGGGATTTGAGTATAGCCTTATAAAAGTTAGCGGGGGGTTTTTTGTTTGGTTGGTTGTTGTTGGGTTTTTTTGGTTGTTTTTTAAGAAAATGAGGTTTCCTGAAATGACTGATTCATATCTGTGCTAAAGAGGGAAACCTGAAGATATAAAAGAGGTTAGCTAAGAGGTTTAAAGGGAATCTGAGCTGTGGAGCAGTCCCTATTACAGTTTGCTTTGGGTGACACAAGGACGTAACTTGCAAGGTATCAGTGCAACAGTGAGGCTATTGTTTTCTGGTCCACAGAGACCAAATTATTTCGTCTTATTAAGCATACAGTTTACTTTCTGGTGAAGGAGAGCTCTTTACTCATATCTCAATTGTTTTCCAACACCTTGGTCTCCAAAAAAAATACATAGTTACTGAAGAAAACAATGGACAGGCTTTTCCCAGACTAAGAGGTTTGACCTGCTTATTGATGGCAGACTTCCAAGGTAGCAGCACTGGTGTAAACCCCTAGTGAAGACAGAGAAATGCACTCAGCCATGAATTATACTGGTAAAACTTGTCTCCCTTACGACCACCAGGCTTGGAAGGAGTCACTGTCCTTTAAAGCCTGTGCTGCAATCCCCACAAAGAGAGCAAGCAGCTGTGGTCGTAACAGGACTAAATCCTCACCACAGATACAGGATTTTTTGTGGTACTGCAGTAGTGGCAATAATCACATTCTGGCTGATGTGCTCTGGCAGTGGTAATACTGAACTCCTTTCTAATCATCTCAGTGTTGAGAGAGACTTGATATGCTGGAGGACCACCCCACAGCAAGCTTTGGCTGGCCTTGGGGCATCTGCCTTCAGATGGCATGAGCATTGTTCTCTTTCTAAACTGGGAGTTTCCAGCAGCTCTCCTGTGGGAGCAGTGTCCATGAGGCCTACTGGAGGGGAGGGGGAAAGCTAAGCTGGGAAGGTGGCAGAAATTAATCAGGCCAGGGAGATGGTGTCAGAGCAAGCCTGAGGATGCATTCAGGTGGAGCAAGCCCTGTGTTTTTGTGGTGGGTGTCAGGTGCTGCTGGCACAAGGAGTTTTGCAGCTCTGTGATAGATGCAGCAGTTTGTTGGCTTTGGATGGACAAATTGGTTTTCTTGTGGAGAAATCTAGAGTGTTATAGTGCAGCACAGCGTTCCTGTCCCCACCTATTGCACAGGCAGATAGTTTGTGACTTGCCAGATAGCTCTGATTTTTAAAATAAGCTAAGAAAAAAATCTATTCGCTAATCTTTGTAAAGAGAAAAGGGGAACTTGATTATTGTCTGTGCTTGATGGCTGTTCCCTGACCTGGGCAGAGAAGGAAGTAATAGGCTGACTTGAATGGGATAGATGAGTGTCCTGGTGATCTGCTTCCAAACTGCATGTGTTTGGATATGTGATCCATAGGCCATCGCAGCAGGCAAGGTGACTGTATAACACTACTATCCAAAAAACCACCCCAAAGCAGTTGTTCGAGCTAAGAAGCAGCACCTAGCTCTTCTGTGTACGTTTGTAGGAAAGTTGTTACTGAGGTAATTCATGTAAGTGGTCTAAGTTAGGATGAGGAAAAAATATATAATTTTGAGCATTTAAGTGCTATATGTATATTATAAGTTTTGAACTGCTGTATTTATACAGACATAAGAAGATTCTTGCAAATGTGTCTTTCATGTTCAATAAAATTTCAACACAGCGGCCACCTTCCATGTGGTGTCAAGATTGTATTTCCTTTTTGTGGAGGTGCAAAAATGCACATGCTGCCAGTGACCCACATCCCTCATGCAACCAGAAGTGTCTCTCGTGGAAGCTTTTGCCCTGATTATCGTTGCCTCAACACCACTTTGTGCTTGTTTTGATTTTTTTTTTTTTTTTAATTCAAAAAGATTTCCATGAAGAAGCATACACCTTCCTCAGTGGTTTTTTGATTTAATAGTGAGCTCACAAGTGGGACACTGGGAATTTGGCATAGTTTGGTTTTATACAGTGCCTAACACAGTAGCTGTGTTTTGTTTGAACATGCTCGAACACTTGCTTTTAATACTTTTCCTCTTGTTGTCTTTACTGTATAATTTACTTTTCAATGTTCAACTAGGTTTGCCTTTTTTTTTCCTCTCTTCCCTGCCGCTCTTGACTTTTCAAATTCTCAGAACAGTGACTAAGATATGCCCTGCAGGTGATGTGGTTGATTTTGCTCCTTTTATAGGATGTGGATCAGACAAGGTTCAGTATAAAATTACAGTAATGGTCTTTTTTAACCACTAGTTTGTTATAGATAACCTAATCTGTTTGCAGAGAATCACTTGAGAATATTTTCAAAGGCATACTGGCAGGTCTTACTTAGCCCAAGATTAAATTTTGTGAAAAACGAGATTTAATGGCAGAGGAGGTTTTTTTGTTTTGTTTTGTTTCACTTCTACAGCAGGAACAAACTGTACAAGGAAATGTCTATAAACAAAATAAAGGAATAAATAAATAAATAGAAAACTCCTACACCTAACCCATGAACCTGAATGTTTCCTGTTGATTGGAGGTAACAAGTCACCAAAAACGATGACTTGGAGGCATTTTTATTCTTTGCTTTTATGATTTAAGTCAAACTAAAATTGTAAACATCTTTACTTTGCAACATTTGTAGTTACTGTGGTGAATAATACGTTTTTTCTAGGGCAGCAGTGGCAGGAGATACCTTGAGGACTGATCTTACATGCTTTGATTATTCAGATAACCCTTTATACTGAAAAAGACACACTTCAAATGACTGGCTACTATGAAATGTCCAGACTAGGCTAGTCCTGCTGTGCTGGTAATCAAAATTTACAGTCAGTCCCAAGTAATAGATAGGCACAGATGTATTTTAATACAGGCCATGGTTATTCATATGGAAAAAATTAATTTAAAAAATCAAATCACATTGACTTTTTAGGTTATTTTCCAGTGAGTAAGTGTATTTTATCAGAAGAGCAGTTGCCTTTAAGGGACAAATACAGAAGGCAGAGAAAACTGCTTTTTTGAATGTTCTGTTTTTGTGCCTTTAAAGGTGACATTTTTGGAAAGCATTGCAACTTGGGGTGGGAGGGTTGGAGTTTGCACAGTAAGTGGAATTTTTATTTGCATTTTGAGACCCCCAGATAAGATGTCTATGTGGAATGAAGAATATTTTATCTGTTGCAAGTATTGGTCTGTATGACAAATATTAGATTGATATAAACATCTTAAAGGCTGAAAATATGAGGAAATTGTGACCTGAGATGCAGGTTGAGTTTCAAGTAATTAATCCTCAGCTAATCCTGTCATTGCATGCTTGAAAAGAAATGTGGAAAGGAATTGGGCTATCATGAAGCAAAAAGATTTCTGCTTGACTTTGAAGTTTTGTTATTTGCATTGTGAATGAAGCCAGATAGAAGTGCAAAAAGCAGTAATATTTGTAGCCATAAATTTATGGTTGAATTAGCAGGCACCTAAAAGGAAAGAGTGACTTGAAAGCCTACAAAAAAGCAGTACCATGATGCATCTAAAAGTTGTGTTGACACTGGAAGAAAATTAAGAGAAAGAAACAGCTTCTGAGATGTCTGTGAGATGCGGGGAATCCCTGGTACAGGCCGAGATGTTAACTAGAACAGAACCAACTTTCAGAAGATGAAAAGTGAGAGAGATACCCACAATGTTGTATCAAAGAGGCTGCTGGCTGTGGCAGGGGGTGGGTGGTGTGTGTATGTTTTCAGAGGTTTTGGGTGTGAGGTGGAAGGTGTGACAGGAGCTGATCTCCTTTTACGAGTAACTATGCTCTCAATCTCTTTCTTCATCACAGAGATGTCTCGCAGGTTTGCCTTATTGCACTGCATGATGCTGGCTTTTTTTTCAACTTTTCCTGTGCTTAGTCCTGTCCCTGTTCTAGTCATTTAAATGAATCACAGACATGAAAAACTTTCTCCCAAGGGAAAATAATTTATTGCTTATTCAACATATGGGCCTTGATTCCACTGAAGTCAGTGGAGAGATGCCCTGTGGCTTGATGGAAATTGT